TGCTCCTGCTCTTCCTCCTGCTCCTGCGTCCTGCTACTCCTCTCCCTTCTCCTCCTCCTCGCTCCTCCCCGCTCCTCCTCGCCCCTCCTCGCGCCTCCTCATCCTCCTCGTCCTCGTCCTCCTCCTCGCTCCTCCTCCTGCTCATCATAATCAGCATCATCATCAACATCCTCATCATCCTCGCCCTCCTCCTCCTCCCCCTCCTCGTCTTCCTTCCCACCTCCTCCTCGTCCTCCTCTTCCTCCTCCTCATCCTCATCCTCATACTCCTCCTCGTCCTCCTCTTCCTCCTCCTCCGTTTCCTCCTCCTCCTCCTCCTCCTCCTCCTCTTCCTCTTCCTCTTCCTCTTCCGCCTCCTCCTTCATATCCGCCGACCCCTTGTGGGTCTCTAGGCGTGTGAGATGTTTCCCCCCTTTAACCCGCACTGGGGACCCCAAACTGGCGATTTGACCCCCCCCCCCCGGCCAGGGGGCCCCGGGGGGGCCGTTTGACAGTGTGCCCCATTGACAACCACCCGGACTGAGTTCGCCCAGGTCCCTGGGGGGTTGGCCGACGTCGGGGGCCATTTGACAATGGGCCGCACTGTCAAACCAAACAAATGTCGGGGGGGGGCCTGGGGGCCATCTGACAGTGGGCCCCACTCTCAGACAGGTTCCGGGGGGGTCCCCCCGGAGGGTGGGCCTCAAGTCCATTTGACACTGGGTCCCACTGTCAAACAGGTTCCAGGGCCCCCCCCGGGGGGGGTGCCTGGGGGCCATTTGACAGCGGGCCCCACTGTCAAACGGGTTCCAGGGGGGACCCGGGGGAGGCTGGGGGCCATTTGATAGTGGGGGCCGCTGTCAAACAAGTCCCGCGGGGGGAGTGGGGGCCATTTGACAATGGGGCCCACTGTCAAAGAAGTACCAGGGGCCATTTCACAAAGGGACCCACTGTCAAACGGGGGCCTGGGAACCATTTGGCATCGGGGGCCACTGTCACACGGAGACCTGGGGGCCATTTGACAGTGGGGCCCACTGTCAAACGGAGACCTGGCGGCCATTTGGCAGTGGGGGCTACTGTCAAACGGAGGCCTGGGGGCCATTTGACAGTGGGGCCCAATGTCAAACGGGGACCTGGAGGCCATTTGACAGTGGGGCCACAGTCAAACGGCGTCCGGGGGGCGCGAGGGCTCCGTCAAACAGCGCGCCGAAGGCAATCGCGGCGGGCGCGGAAGAGCAAGTCGACGACGGGGCGCGCCGTCAGACGGCGCGCCGCGCGCGGTCCGAGTAGGAAGCTGCGCGGCCATACATGCTCGACCGATCCAAATGACTCAATATAAGAACGGGCTTCTACCGCGCAGCCAAGAACAACTCCGCCAAGCTCGCGCACTCCTTGTCGCCGTGTCCCAGCCACTGACCTTGGTCTTCTATTGTCCGCGGCCGCCTCTACTCTCCCCCATCCTCCTATGACACAAGCGACCCCCTGCTGCACCCCGCGGCAGCTGCTATAACTCGCCGCGGCACCTCCGCGCCCTTCTGACTGGGGCCGAGCGTCTTCTGGCGAGATTGCGACGAGCTTCACCTCCTTGCGTTCCTCTTCGCACGCGTCGCGCTCCGAATTGTCATCGCTTGCAATCGCCTCGGCGTTACCGCGCACCGCGCATCGCCGCGCTGCACTGCGCAGCCCACCCGCGACCCCGGCGCGCCCGTCGCCCTGCCATGCAGGACATCACGTGCCCGCTCAGTCAACGCTCCCCGCCGAATCTCGCAATCCAAAGAGCCATCTCAACTCGGTTGTCCGCCGAGCTGTCCATTCTGGAAGTCACAGAAAGGCCCGCGATCATCGGCGACCTCAGGCGAAGCCCCTCAGGGCACTCCCAAGAGGGCCTCTTGGGCAAGTTTGCGACCCTCTTCGGCCCTCCTTCTCCCTGTGCTTGAGCCGGAACGGAATGACTCCGCCGCGGCTTACCCAAAAGTTGTGGCAACCAGTGCCACTGAAAAAAGGGGTCGGCGGATGTGGCGTAAGCCTGTAGAATCGCTCCTCCTCCTGCTCCTGCTCCTCCTCCTGTCCTTGCGTCTGCTCCTGCTCCTGCTCATGTCCCTCCTGCTCATCCGCCTCCTTCCCCTCCTCGTATTATTGCTATGCTGCGTCTCATCCTTCGTCTGCTTCTGCTTAATATGGGTAGTATGCGTCGTCGTCGTATCATGTGTGTTAATAGTGCGAGCCGTCGTGTTTTCGTATTAATAGTCGTCTTACTGCCAGTAGCAGTAGCATCATTGTTCGTGACCGCCGTATCCTTCTCCTTATTCTTAGAATGTGTCGTATTATCCGTACTCGCACGGCTAGTCGTACTCTTAGTTGTCGTAGCATTCCTACTCGCTTCTTAAACAGATTAGCATTAGCAGTGCTGCTGTTATCATTATCCGCCGGCCCTCTTGTGGGGCCACCAGGCTATAGGACGGAGCTTCGCAGTTTCCTGTACCAGTTGCAGCTTCCAGTTTCCACTGTTACAGTTCTGCATTTTGCTGCTTAGTGTTCCTTGTTGACTTCTTGCTGCGTACTGTTCCTTGTTGATGGACCGCTCGAGGGGGGGAGGCCCAAAACGGGCAATTTTACCACGGCCAAAGAGGGTTCTCAGAAGTTCTGGGGGGGGGTAAAATTATCATCCCTCACGCAGATCGGCGGTGTCAGGGTCCAACAACACATGGATTTGCAACATTTCTGACATTCGGTGGCACCCTCTGACGCAGATCGGCGGGGTCAGGGTCCAAAAACACAAGGGATTTGCAACATTTCTGTAATTCGGCGGCACCCCTCACACAGATCGGCGGGGCCAGGGTCCAAAAACACACGGGATTTGCCATATTTCTGTAATTCGGCGGCACCCCTCACACAGATCGGCAGGGTCAGGGTCCAAAAACACACGGGATGTGCCACATTTCTGAAAGTCGGCGACACCCCTCACGCAGATCCGTAGGGTCAGGGTCAAAAAACATGAGGGATTTGCCACATTTCTGAAAGTCGGCGGCACCCGTGACGCAGATCCGTAAGGTCAAGGTCGAACAACACAGAGGTCCCGACACCGCTTCACGGCGGCGACCAGACCTCATGATTTAGCTGTTGCATCTCCCATTCTCCGAGACAGGGGGCCCGCGGCATGGGGCGAAGCCCTTACAGATTATTAACACTGCGAGTCTGATTAGTGTTAGTATTATTGTCAGTATTGATCGTAGTCCTCGTCCTCC